ACCTTTAAGATTTCCTAGACTTGCACAAAGTAGGGCTGCGACCTCCTACTTTAGTCTAAGGTATACTCGCGAATGCAATGGACAGGTCTATGCATGTCTCTTCTTCACATTCATTTCATACATAACTCACACACCTGCATGCGTATTCCTTTCACAATATTGCTACTCTATCAGTTCATAAATCATAATGCATAAGTTATACAAAATATTTGTAAACAATTTCACAAAGGAATGAGTAAAAGGATTACTCCAGTTACATTTTACCCTTACTACTGAGGGTTACCAATCGTACTGAATTCCCAAAAGTGTAGATTCCCACGAGCAATGTAACAAGTGCTTAATTTACACAATGCAATTTAATTAATAACTTTTAAATTCATAAGTATACCATCTATAGTCATTGGCCTCATAGGCTATCCAAATGACCATAATAATCTCCTAACTCATTCACCCAATTTCACCATTTTTAACCTAATTCTTTAGGCTAATTGAGCCTAAATCCTCAAGGTTTAACCATGTAACTCTAGACTGGTCACAAAATCTTTGTTTTATGTTTGAAATCTCTTGTTAAACCTTTCTTTCAAATTTCAACACCTTAAAACTTCCTTATTTGATTTCTCAATTGATCAAATTCAATGAAAATGGGGTAGAAATGAAGCTTAGGGTTGTACAATACTTACCTAACAAGTCATTAACCGAAGCAGACTCTCAAGCTCTCATAAATCAATGCCCTAATAGAGCCAAGTCTTCTCTCCTCTTTAGATGCATTTTCCCAACTCTTCCCTTCTATTTTCATAAGCTAATCACATCAACTTTAAGCAATTTTTGTGCAATGCGTCGCGGCAGCACAGTGAGTTCAATCTCACTTATGCTCGCACGTTTCATCCTGAATTGCCACTCTACTCTTTAATCCTATTAACATAACAACCAATCAATATAAAATATCAACTCAAAATTCCAACCATGATCAATCCACTAATTACTAATTTATTCCTAGTTAGTAACTAGTTTTCCTGAATTGAATTTAGGATGTTACAGTTGTGTAGTGAGTAACGTGGTAATATTCAGCATGATTAAGAGCATAAGCTATAATAAGCTTTTCTTGCTTGTCTTCTTTACTCCGTTCATCTTTTCTCTTTCCTATCATCAAGCCACCATCTCCGATAGTCATATGGATGTAAGGACCCTTAGTAACTATATGTAGCATCTCTATGTTTAGAGCTTACATCATCATCCACCTCTTCTAGAAAGGATAGCCTTCCCTTTTGAATGCTGGTGGTCAAGAGGTATAAAATCCTTTGCCAAGATTGTCATCTAAATAATTTTCCATTAGTAAGATCTTTGAACTCAGATGATTTAGTCGAATTTGATCAACCAAGTTTTAATACCAATTGTAAAGGTGCCTAAGAGAGGGTAAATTTGGCCAAATAAAAATTTACAAATTTTGCATAATAAAAGAGATTAGTTAAGGAACGATATCCTACCTTACTGCACTACTACTTAGTTATGGAGGATAGAGAATTAGTAAAATCTAATACCACTATGGCTATAGTAATCTCCAATAATTAATGGAATCTTTTTAGTGTGAGACATTTAATGGATGAGAAGTCTATAGTGGCAATCCAACATATCCCTCTTCTTGCAAATGGCACTTATGATCATGTTTTCTAGAAAGTGAGTAGTAATGGATTATATAATGTGAAGCAAGGCTATGTTTGGGCTATGAGAAATAAAAGTGACACACAGTTGAAAGCTGGTTCATCCTTTATTGTTATTGAAGATTTTTAGAGGTCTTTGTGGAAGACAAAAACTATCCTAAGAATTAATCATTTCTTATAGAGGGGCATCTGAGGCTCTTGTGACTAATGCAACCCTAGTTAGATGTCATAGATGGCATTATAGTCTTTGCCCTATGTGTGAGAAGAAAGTTGAAACAATTGAGCATATGTTTTTCTTGTGTTCATGGATCCATTGTGTTTGGTTTGATAGTGGTCTAACTCTAAAATTTAATCATTATAATGTCGAGCACTTTGGACAATAGTGGTTGGAGGTCATGTCTTTCGAGAGTGAATATACAGACTTGGACATTGCACACATAAGCTGGATCTAGTGGCTAATATGAAAGGCATGAAATGCTAAGTTTTTTAATCATGTGGATCTAGATCTAGCTTCAATCATTAATTTGGTGGCAAGAAGATCAGCATTGGAATTCTGGACAATTAGTGTGTTAGTCACTAATTTTGATTTAATTTTGAATAGCCCTACTAGGGCCCATACTTAGGTGTCCCTCCTTTGAGCTATTTGAAAGTAAACTGTGATGGTGCACTCTTTTAGATAAATAACAATCTTGCATTCAAAAAAACGTCAAGCAGATTTGGGTGATTGAAGGTATAGAGGCATTATTGAAGATATTATAGCTTTATTAGCAACTAAAGCTGGGTTTTCCATCTCTTTTGTCCCTTGCAAAAGGAATGGTATAGATGATCTAGTTGCAACTTTCATTTACAAGGGGGTGAATCCCATTAGATGGATGGAGACACTATCACTCTCCCTTTTGTTGGCTTTACTTAGGGTCCCCTATATTTGTTTCTGGAATGAAGTATTTGTAGTTGGCCAAAACAAGTTTGAATTTTGGGATGTTACTTTAGCCATCCACATTTAAAATTTCAAATGCATTTACTTAATTACCATCCATTAGCTCACTTAGTCCGAAATTTAAATTATAGGATGTTATAATGGTAATATCTGATTCTCATGATTTCAAGAAATGGTTTTTTTTTCACTTGAGTCATCTCTCCATTGTCACTTTTTTTTTTTTGTAAGCATAAGGAGCACACTTTATCGACAATAAAGATTATCTCTTTAGAGATATTGAAAACAAATGGTAAACATCTTTCAACTAAATTGCTAATGAGAGTTAAGATTTGAACTCCAAATTACTTGCTTAATTGATGAAAGCCCTTGTCACTCATGTCAACTTTAGTTGATCTCACGGTCACATTTTGAGTAACATGAGTGGAGTATGAAATTAATGTCCTTTACTTGTTATAATATTAGTTAAGTTATAATTATTTTAAAGTCTTTTGATTAAGTTGGGCTTGCATCTCAAAAATCAAAATTATGACATAAATAGTATATTCTTTTTAAAACAGGTGGAGGCTTATGTGATTAATAAAATACATGGAAAGTCTGTGTATTTTAGCTTATGCATGATTGTTCTGTTTATCATAAAATTTGTTTCTATTTTCATTTGTATTTTTGTGAAACTTACAACCTTTAGTTCAAAATATAAGATTTATTTCTCATTTAACCTTGGTCCAAAATATAAAAAATTTTAGTATTTTTAGAAATTATTTTTCTCATTTTACCCTTGCATTTATTAACCTAAATTTATTGTGTAAAATGAGAATTTATCACATCCTTTTCAATAGCTCTATCATTAAAAAAATTATTGACATAAATACTCTTTTTCTAATTGAATTCGTCATTCGTAGTTACATTAAGGATTAAAAAAAATTATAGATATAACTAACTTTTATTAGTATGTGAATTTTTAGTTTAAAGTTGCTTATAATTTGAATTAGAGGGCATTGTTTTTAAAAATTAAATAAAAAATTATTTTCATGATTAAGTTAGGTTGGATAGGAGTTGAGTAGTTATTGAGGCAAAAATGAGAGTTAAATAGCTGAACTAGTAACCAAAACATTTTTAAAAAAACTGGACAGCTCAAAACATAGTATTTAGAAAAGCTAAAAAATTTTTATAAATAAGAAAAATCAAATAAAGATGTTGACAATTTACATGTATATAATATAATTTGAGATCATTTTTTTTATAAAAGATATTAACATTTATAATTGCAAATACAAATACTTTTGAGTCTATGCCTATCTAATTTAAGCAAGTTTTACCTATATTTGATAACTTATCAGATTATAATTTATAATTATAATATTATTAATTTACAATTATATTGTGTTATTTTCTTAACAATAGACAAATTATAGATTTGTTTCTTATATTTATTTTATATATGCATTTAATATTATTTTTTATTAAATTTTTTATCTGATTATTATATCATCGATTTAATGATAAATTAATTATTTAAATAATAAAAATTAAAAACAATTAACTTTACAGTTGACATCTTATTCGGTTTTTAAAATATAACTAGGGAGTAATTCAATAGAGACTTTTCAAGAGAATTTGAATAAATTAAAGGACATTTAACCAAATTTATTTACATTCAAAGCTTCTAAATTTTTAAAATTTCACTGCAATCTAAGGGTACTAATTTGATATTAAATTATTAAGAGAAATGATAAAATTGTTCCTGTTTTAAATTAATATCAAAACTTTTCTACTTTACTTGTTAATTGTCCTACTTCATTTGTTCATTTACTTGTGAAATATTGTTATTTGCCCTATTTAACTTGTGTTTATTTTATGTATCTAAATCATCTTAAGACCACTTATTGATTCCTATATTGTATGTTATTTATTTATTTATTTATAGACTATTATTAATTGTCTTACTTTACTAGTTTATTGCCCTATTTCACTTGTTGATAACCAGACTTTCACTTGATTTTATTCGAGAAAAATAAACAAGTGAAATAAGATACTTAACAATATTCGGTAAGTAAATAAACAAATGAAGTAATATAATTGATAATTGAAATAGAGAAGTTTTGATATCAATTTAAATGAAGGGTAATTTTGTTATTTTTTTTTAAAATTTAATATCAAGCCAGTATATTGGACTGTGATAAAATTTTAAAAATTTAAAAATTTTGAATATAATTAAGTATGATTAAAAGATCTTTGTTGAAACTCTCCCCTCTTTTTCCTTCGGGATCAGATCAACGGATCATAAATTAGAATAGGCTATTTTCTGTCCATTATTCAAGTATTCTCGTATCCAAACAGGCGGTCATCCGTTATTTCATTGGTTTGGTTCGTGTACTGTGTTGAAAATGGTTAAAACCCGTAAACCCTAATACTTTAAATAGCCTCCTTCTCTCTCTTGCACTTTCTCCCCGCAGTCTGGAAGCTCTGTTTCATTGTCCATTGCTCACACTGCTCTCTAAACCCTGTGGGCTGTGGCGCACTTAATTTCCCATTCTCAATTGGGATTGGGGTTTAGATTGCCGATCAAACTCCCAATTTCCGTTGCTCATTATATCATCATCATACGGTTGATTTTGTTCAAAGTTGGGATTTTGATCCTGGTGAGATAATGGATCTCCCTAGTCTGGCTGTTGTACTCCAAGCTGCTCTTAGTCCGAATCCTGATGAACGCAAGGCAGCTGAGCAAAGCTTGGATCAGGTTCGTCTGTTTGTTATTAGAATTCCTCTACTTTGGTTTAGGAACAATTCGAATTTCACTTTTTGATTAGAAGTGTTGTTTGATTTGACTTGATTCTGAATGTTGACGCTCCTTGTTTTGCTACATATCTCGACGCTGAATGCTATTTACTTTTGTTGATTCACTTCCACGGCAGTGTTGCTCTTTGTGACTTGAGGATTCTGGTGTTACGGGAATGATTTGAATTCAATTGTGGATTGGTTTAACATGGTTCTGAATTATATATGGTTTTATCTTGTTACAGTTTCAGCATGCACCTCAACATCTTGTGAGGCTGTTACAGATCATTGTAGACAACAACCGTGACATGGGCGTGCGCCAAGTTGCGAGCATTCATTTCAAAAACTTCATTGCCAAAAATTGGTCTCCCCATGATTCTGGTATGTCCTTATCGTTGGTGGGAGTTGAAAACTGAATCCCTTGTTTGCTGATCTTTGTTTTCGGCGATGATGCAGAGTCCCAGCAGAAGATCTTGCAGAATGATAAAGACGTAGTGAGGGATCACATTCTTGTGTTTGTAACTCAAGTTCCTCCCTTATTAAGGTACAGTTGTTGAACCGTGACTACTATGCATTTCGAAACTCTTATGATTCAAAAAGCAAGAAAGTGCAATCTCATGTAATTACTTGCATTTTATTAACTTATCTTACTTGACCACATTTGTATAGGGTACAACTTGGTGAGTGCCTGAAAACAATTATACATTCTGATTATCCTGAGCAGTGGCCACATCTTCTTGACTGGGTGAAGCATCACTTACAGGATCAACAAGTCTATGGTGCCTTATTTGTTTTGCGGATTCTTTCTAGGAAATATGAGTAAGTTAGCGCTGGTAATTATGAAGTATAAAATATTATTTTCTAGTTGAAAGAAACTGGACTATTATCCTTGATTGTATTTCATTTTACATAACTATTTATTTATAATATAATTTTGGTGATTGCTTCCTAGCACTTGGTGCTAGTTATATCCAATGGGTTTGGTGTATCTCTTTCCGTCCAAAGGAGTATTTTAGTGTTGTAAATAGTGTGTATTTGAAATCTTATGTAGCCCCAGGACTTATTCAATATTATATACGAAAGTTCTATATGGGAATATTACTAAAAGCTATATTTCCCCCAATCCTCAGGTTCAAGTCAGATAATGAGAGGATGCCGGTTCATCGAATCGTTGAGGAGACATTTCCTCACCTTCTCAACATATTTAACAGGCTTGTTCAGATTGCCAATCCATCACTCGAAGTAGCAGAATTAATAAAGCTTATCTGTAAAATCTTCTGGTCCTCCATATATGTATGTTCCTTTACCTCTCTCTGAATATTTTTTGCAGCAAGAGTTTATTGTATGCACTATGCAGTGAATCGAATAGTAAGTGGACAACTGCTGCATTTTTTGAGATTTATCTTAATCTATGATCTTTTCACCCTTTGTACTGTATGATTCTGTTACAAAATTTGTTGTTTACCATGCTCATGCTGCAATATGTATTATACAATTTAACATCAATTTGTAATGGCACACTATCTTTCTTCATATTAATTCAAACATCCGAAGATTGAAATCTCTTATAGGATCCTTTATTCCTATGAAAATTTGTCATCCAGAACTCTTTTAGTCTTGTTTGATTGTACTGTAGCAAGTGTTCTCTGATTTCATGTACCGGTCCCAGAAATATATGAAGTCATCTTAATGAGCTGTGTAATTCCTAGTCTTGGTTAATGTGATGTGTATTTGAATGATTTAACCATGCTTCTCCTGAATATGGTCTTTCATTGGAGTTATTTGCAAATGAATGTGAAGATAGAAATTTTAATTGACAATTGAGATAGCATAACTGTCTTCTTGTGCATTTTCTACTTTAGCTAATGGAAATTACTCGGGCATTCATTGGTTTATTATTTGTTGGAGAATAAGGCCCTGTATTCATTCTTCAATCTCAGATTTATTAGTTTACCAGTATCTGTTATGATTTTGTTTTAATTATATGAGATCATCATAAGAGGATTAGATTAGATTACAATCTTTTCTGGTTTCGACGGTTAGAGTAGCTAAGGATTTTTGTAGCTACCAACCCAATGAAATGCCATGTACTACCTATTCAAAATTTATGAAGAGATTCCCCTGAAATTTATTTGAATTTATTCAGTTGGAGATTCCAAAGCAGTTGTTTGATCACAATGTCTTCAATGCTTGGATGGTGCTATTTTTAAATGAACTAGAGAGGCCTGTCCCGTTGGAAGGTCAGCCTGTAGATCCTGAGTTAAAAAAATCATGGGGTTGGTGGAAGGTGAAGAAATGGACAGTTCATATTTTGAACAGGCTGTATACTCGGTAGGTTTGATGTCTGAACAGTTTAATTGAGAAATATGCACTGTTCTGCCTAAATAATTGAATTGACTTTTCTTTGGGTGTTCATTATTTTAAAGTTTTGGGGACTTGAAGCTGCAAAACCCTGAAAACAGAGCTTTTGCCCAAATGTTTCAAAAGCATTATGCAGGGAAGATTTTGGAGTGCCACTTAAATCTGTTGAATGTTGTTCGAGTTGGTGGTTATTTACCTGACAGGGTTATCAACTTGATTCTTCAATATTTAAGCAACAGGTGGGGTCTTTTTTTGAAAAATGATTATCAATCATTTTAATTGTTTATCCATATCTTTCAGTGGCACTCACATCATATGTTTCATGTCCAACTTTTCTGTTGTAGAGTAAATTCCTATTTTATCCATAATTTATGGTTTATTTAAAGTTATAGATCGGTAGGGAAACACACTTGCTGTACATTAAGCTAGCTGGGATGGTTTATGAATGGTTATGTTTTTTTTTTGTTTTTTCTTTTTTGGGACTAAAAAAAGCAGAGTCAAGTTCGTGCCTTTTCCTAACTAAGCAGTTTGCAATACAGTTTAAATTCCTACACACAAAGCTAATGGAATCATAATGGTTTTATGTGGGAGTAACATGATTCTTCATAAATAATTTTATTATAATTTCCAACACATCCAATTGCACTAAAGAGCTTAAAGTTTGAAATGATAATTAGGCGTAGGCTTCCAAACATTTTGTTGGAATCCTAAAACTTTTGATCTTGATTCCATGTCTATAGAAGTTTAAAGTTTTAAGTTGAAATGGTTCTTGACAAAGAGCTATTAATAATTTTGGAAAGTTTTATAGGTTAAGAGTAAGGGAGCTTGCTCCTAATAATTTAGGCAAGTCTTGTAGGCTTTGGAAATAGTTACCTTGTAGTGCTCCCAAATTAAAGAGTAGAATCTGTTTGTGCAGCAATAAATAAATTTTTTTACGGTATTTTCTTTGATCTCTTCTCTCTCTAAACTTCAGTCCTCCAATTTTCAAAACAGCTATGGAGAGAGCTCAAGATAATTTTGATGAACTACTTTATTAAATTTTTTATTTTCTGTTGCTCAGTTGTCAACAACATATATGGTGATTCCAAAGTTAGTTCATTTTGTCTGAACTTCTGCTTTTAATTTATATGTGCAGTATTTCAAAGAATAGCATGTATTCTTTGCTTCAACCTCGGCTAGATGTTCTTCTTTTTGAGATAGTGTTTCCCCTCATGTGCTTTAATGATAATGATCGGAAGCTTTGGGATGAAGACCCCCATGAATATGTAAGGAAAGGCTATGGTAAGTCTTATTGGTATGAAGTTGATATTTAAGGAAGTTTTTAGTTGTATTTGTGCTTATAAATTCTTATTCTTTTCTACAGACATTATTGAAGACTTGTACAGTCCTAGAACTGCTTCAATGGATTTCGTGAGCGAGTTAGTTCGGAAACGTGGGAAAGAAAATCTTCACAAGTTTATTCATTTCATAGTCAAAATCTTCAAAAGGTAAAATTTTTTTCTCACTTTTTTGAGCAGATACTTCATGAATTGGGGATCATATTCAGGCTTCTGCTGTGCTAGGTATGATGAAGCTCCTGCAGAATACAAGCCCTACAGACAGAAAGATGGTGCTCTTCTTGCTATTGGGGCACTTTGTGATAAATTGAAGCAAACTGAGCCGTACAAATCTGAACTTGAGCCTATGTTAGTGCAACACGTCTTGCCTGAGTTTAGCAGTCCGGTTGGCCACCTTCGGGCAAAGGTATCACATCTATCTCCATGTTGGACAGTGTCTCTCTCTCTCTCTCTCTCTCTCTGTTTTTTTTGGTAAAGACAGTGTCTCTCTTTGCTCTCTCTCTCTCTCTCTCATCTCTTTTGGTGTGCTGGGGGAAGGGTAATAAGATTGTGATAAATTTCAAGACTAAATTATCCTTTGAGCATGATGTCCATGTCCAAAGTGTATCCTTACATTGGTGTCATTATTTGATTAAGTGTTCTCTAAGCATAAGAATGAGCAAAGTAGTGGAGATTGGGGCTGTTGGTTTGGCGTCTCCACTCTGACAAAGTGACTTTTTTTATTGTTGTCATAATCGGATCAATATTGTTTTCTATAGAGGGGAATACAATCACACTTTTTTTGGGTTTGTTTTGAGTGATTCAGATTTCATGTTGATACACTGTGTGAAAGACCTATCCTCTCCAAATGATTCTGATGTGTAGTGGTAGAAAGAGGGAAGAAAGAAATAAGAAGGGAGAAGAGAGGAGAGTGAGAGAGAGAGAAGTTTCTGAATAATACTCTGAATTTCATTAAGCATATCTTCAGATTACCACAACCTTAAATTTATAGGTACTAATCTGATCCTTTTATTTCCCCGACAGACATAACCAACTATCTACCTATTAACAACAGTCTCAACCAGCTAACTACCTACTAACCACTTTTGAATATCTATTTTTCTAATTACATATCAGATTCATTATTTGATTTTGTTATAAAGAATGAAAAATTAATCATTTGATTCCTATACTTTTGACTTCATTGTAACTAAGTTTCTAATCTCGGTACAACTTGATTTTCATATTTTAACTCAGTCCCTGAATTTCAAGTCAATACAACTTAGTCCCTATAGTTTTAGCTATTTAAAACATTAGTTCCTGAGTTTAATGATAACTTTATTCTTTATAATTTCAATAGATAAAACTATAGGCATGGGTTGGACTTAGTCAGAGTTCAGGGGCTAAATGTTGACTCCGTCATAACTGTAGGGATCAAATAATTAATTTTTCCTATGAAGAAAGAATGAATTCTTTTGTTCTCAAATAATTTTTAAATTTATAATTATAATTTAAAATGTTACTATTTAAGGGTGGCATAATGAAGATGATGAATTCTTTTTTTGGGAGATTAATAAAGAAGGCACAAAGCCTTGAGAGCTAGGAGTCAGTAAGGGGTGTAATATATTTGGATCATGCTCACTTCAATCTTAATGGCGGTCGTTGATGTCATGTTATCTATAAGCTCAATAGTAGATGTGAAATTTAACTGGCTGTTGATGGACCAATTGAACTAATATTCTAGTAATTTCTTCCTCCATTCTTTTTGCAAGACTGGATTACATTCTCTCCTTTCCCTTCACTAAAGAGCATAACCATGCAATGAAACATTGAATTTCATTTTTTTTTTAATTTTTATTTTGGTCTGATAAATGAATTTCTTAAATTTCTTTTTTTATCCATTGACTTTCCTCTAAACAATCTAACCATTACCTTTTGCTACATGATGTGATGATATGACTGGATGTAAACTAATATTTATTTTAATAAATCATGTAAGTCTCAATTATCTATTCAGGAAATTCTGGTGCTTAATATTTTTTTATCAAAACAGGCCGCATGGGTTGCAGGACAGTATGCTCATGTCAACTTCTCTGATCAAAACAATTTTCATAAGGCATTGCAGTGTGTTGTGTCTGGGATGAGAGATCCAGAACTTCCTGTACGGGTTGATTCTGTTTTTGCTCTGCGTTCGTTTGTTGAAGCATGTAAAGGTGATCTATATATATTTTGACTTTCATGTCCGTTTGTTCTGGTTTGCTTCATTGTTTTTTATGACTAATTTTGATCATGCTTTTTTCCTTGTTTATGTGCAGATTTGAATGAAATTCGTCCTATTCTTCCTCAACTCCTTGATGGTGTGTTATGTTAAATGTTCTTAGCTTATACATTAAATTTATTAATTGGCTGGCTTATTAAACAAGTTTTACTAAACCAAAATCTTTACAGAGTTTTTCAAACTCATGAATGAGGTTGAGAATGAGGACCTCGTATTTACTTTGGAGACTATTGTGGACAAGTTTGGGGAAGAGATGGCACCTTATGCACTTGGGTTATGTCAAAATTTGGTAATTGAATCTTCAATTTGTCTTTGACAGGTTTTTTTTTTTTTTTTTTTTTGGGTCTCATTTGAGAGCTTGTCTTCTCCATGTAATAAATTGAACTTATTGTTCTAACAACAGGCAGCTGCATTTTGGAGGTGTATGCACACAGCTGAAGTTGATGACGAAGCTGATGATCCAGGTGCGCTGGCAGCAGTTGGTTGTTTGCGTGCTATTAGCACGATACTTGAATCAGTGAGCAGGCTTCCTCATCTTTTTGTTCAAGTTGAGCCAACTTTGCTTCCCATAATGTGCAGAATGTTAACAACTGATGGTCAAGGTACTTCACCTTCAATCATGATTTCTTGGATTATGTCTAAGGGTTTTGTTTCTCCATTTTGTTCCACCTTCTTTCATTGTTCATGCCTTTTTTCCTGTTTTGAATAGAATTTCTTTGACATTAGTTAGCTTATTGTTTTTAATACATCAATATAATGTTTCACTGGGTCAAAAATGTCATACTAGAAGCCATACTTGTTTAATTTGTGCCTTGAACTCTGGATTTTAAGTGGGCAGTGTGTTGTTTAATGCTTGGTGTTTGGGTGAAGATTAGAGTTTTCAGATACTCAGATTACTTTGCATGCCATTAATTTCTTTTCGTTTTTTGTGCATACCTGCAGAGGTATTTGAAGAAGTTTTGGAAATAGTATCATACATGACTTTTTTCTCTCCAACAATATCGCTGGAGATGTGGAGTCTTTGGCCACTGATGATGGAAGCACTGGCAGATTGGGCCATTGATTTCTTTCCAAGTATGATGCTCAACTTCATTTCTGTTACAGTCTATTTTGATTTCTTTTGGTTACTTATTTAAGAATCTGGTTCAGAACGTTTCTTAATTGGCCTTTCTAATTTTCACGGTAAAGCTTTGAGTTGGTGTCTTCTAGTTGATTTGAAGATAAACTCTTTATTCCTGCAATTGGAACAAATAAAATGATCTAATTAATATTTAAAAAAATGAACATGACAAATTTCCAGTCAACCATGGAAAGTTCTATCCTATCTAACTATTACACGAGTATGGATAGTTATAATTGGCGAGTTTACACTGGTATCCCTCCCACTGCCCTCCCAAAATGTTTTAAGCCATTATACAGCTAGATTTAGTCCATGTGCTTTATTCTTGTTTTGATATGCTTTTTTAATGGGAAGGAGAAGTTGAGTACTCAATCTCAGCTAGCCACTTTGTATTGCTGGAAACAGTTCCAGCACATATGCTACAAGATATATGCGTGTCATAAAAGCCTCAAACAGAAGAACCCTACACATGCCTAATATAGCTATTTACATAAATGGGAGAAATATATAAATATAAGAGCTATTATGTGTCAACTTTTTGCAAGAAAGAGCTCCCATTGTCACAGTGGTGTATTATGTGAGCATCTTCTAGGAGCTATTTCTGTGCATGATTTGTCAATTGTTTCATAATCTCTAGTTGTTCTCATGCAACTGTTTTCTACTAGTCTGGTCTGAGACTTGCATGATGTTTGTATGAACGTTTCTTTGTCTTTTCTTGGTATCCTTCTCCAGTTGCTCTAGCTTTTTAATAAAGGTTCTATATGTAGTGAGCTGGTATCTAAGCTTTTTTGAAGACATGGTAAATGAAGACTAGCATGGTCTTGTTGTATATAGACATAAAATCCCTAGAATATTAATAATCAGGTTTTTGACTTGATTAGTTTGCTTTAATCTTTCAATGTTTGTATATAGTGGCATAATCTTCAAGTATAATTTTGTATCTGTTACATACATTTTTATTTACATGGTAATTTTTATATTTCTGCAGATATCCTAGTTCCTTTGGACAACTACATTTCAAGGGGAACTGCATATTTCCTTTCTTGCAAAGAGCCTGATTATCAACAAAGTCTATGGAACATGATTTCATCTGTGAGTTATTTTCATGTTGAAATTCTTTCTAGTTACTGCCTGTTAGGTTTGAGCTTGTTACCAAAAACTATGGTTAATGTTTCCATGTTATTGATGCCTTGGTTCTTTGTATTTCTATTTCAGATTATGGCAGATAAAAATATGGAGGACAGCGATATTGAGCCAGCTCCAAAGCTTATTGAAGTTGTTTTTCAGAATTGCAGAGGGCAGGTGGATCACTGGGTTGAGCCATATCTCAGAATAACAGTTGAGCGTTTGCGTCGAACTGAGAAATCATATTTGAAATGTCTTCTCATCCTAGTGGTAAGGAATTATTAGAAATCATAATTAAAATGCCAGAACACTTTCAAAGTTAGCTTGATTTTTCTGGGTTATTCATGTACTGCTATTCACTCTAGAGCTCCAATGTTATGGAGATTGTTTGTTCAAGGCTACGCATATTAAAACTTGTTTGGACTTGCAATTGGCTAGGCATTTGTTTTATTCCTGTAACTTGTGTGTAAGTTTGCTGTTATTCACTGGTGTTGTATTTAAAAAGTTGATAGGCATAATATTTATAGTTCAGAGTAATCCTTCTTTTCTGTGAGTTGATATGGGTGTACCTCAGGGCTACAATTAGTAAATATTACTTTTTGGACCAAAAAGAAATGAACATTATTATTTGTCTGATTTATCTTTTTTTTTTTTAATTTATAACTATTAGTTTAGTAGTCTAGTTTTTCTTCTAGTATGCGAAGGTTCATGTGATCATTTGTTAGAGAAAATAAAGATTAAGGCTGCTTATAAGAGAAGAAATCTTTTTGTAGATTGCAGATGCACTTTACTATAACGCAGCACTAACTCTCAGCTTATTGAAAAAGTTGGGTGTTGCATCAGAAATATTCAATCTTTGGTTCCACATGCTACAGCAAGTCAAAAAGAGTGGTGTTCGTGCTAATTTTAAAAGGCATGCACATGTTCTTTTCTCTCCTCTGCTTTCCCCTGTAAGACTATACTAACAGTAACATTATACCCTATGAAAATATTGTCGCAGGGAACATGACAAGAAAGTTTGCTGCCTTGGTTTAACATCAGTATTAGCAGTTCCAGCTGATCAATTGCTAGGAGATGCCTTTGGTAGGGTGTTCCGGGCCACACTTGATCTTCTGGTTGCATACAAGGATCAAGTTGCAGGTTTTTGATTTGGCCTTTCTCTTATTTGACAATTTTCATAATTATTTATTATAATTTGACCTACAGATGGTATTGGTTTGTCATCCTTAACCTGATTTGTGGTTGCCCAATTCTTGGTCTGTTTTACTTTCTGTGCAGAAGCTGCAAAGGAAGAAGAAGCTGAAGATGATGATGATATGGATGGTTTTCAAACTGATGATGATGAGGATGGCAATGGTGACTCTGACAAGGAAATGGGCGATGATGCTGAGGATGGGGATGAAGCTGACACAGAAAAGCTTAGAAAGTTGGCTGAACAGGTGTGTAGACATGATCCCTTAAAAAACCTTTATGTATGCTTGTTTATGTTTGCAAAGAATCAAATTGAGAACGAGATTATGCGCAATATGAATGCTGTAGAGGACCTTTATGTGAACTTATAAGCCATAACTAACGCAAACTGCATGTTTCACACACTAGTTAGTGTACGTTAGGATTAAAAAATCTGTAGCTGAGATTGAGAATTAATTGAGGTTAGAAGAAAAGTCTGTAATTATAATGTGATTTATGTTTGGATACGTTTTTTTTTTTTTTCATAAGTTAGTTAAGTATACTAAAATTTGTTTGAATAATTTAATTCAAAAGCTTGTTAAAATGTAGAATGACAAAAATGGACATGAGTTTTCTTATATATATTTTTGTTACTAATTTGATATTTAAAAAAAAAGTATTAAACTTACAATTACAATTTTTTAAAAAATAAATTACAAATATAAAATACAATGATAAATCAAAAATCTTAATTTTTAAAAAGGTAGAATTAAATGATAAAATTCAAAATATTCAATTAAAAAAATTCATTATTATAATGATAAAAAAGATATGATTTTTTTTATAAATATTTTTGTGACTAATTTGATATTTTTAGAAAAAATATTAAATATTAAATTACAATTTTATTTTTAAATGGTAGAATTGAACAATTTAAAATGATTCCATAAATTATAAAACTTAAATTTTATAAATGTGTTGCCCGGATTTTAAAAAATAAATTACATTGCTACTAACTTATAAAAATTATGATTTTTTGATTATTTTTTATTATGCATTAATATAAATGTATTGACTTCATTGATTAATTTATTAGTGTTTTTATTATGAATATTTTATGATGAGAGATGATAGATGAGAGATCAGTGAAGCTTCGCGCCTATCACGAGCCAAATATGAGAGGGTGAGGATAAGGGAGACAAAAACCTTGTAAAATTTGAAAATAGCAAATGCAGACTTCACTTTTTTCAACGAGCGTTACTTTATAAGCTTCTTTTCCTGGCTTCAGTTTTAACGCACATTTTTCTTAAAAGATCTTTTCAAAAATTTTGTATCCAAACAAAATTAGAAGGCCGCTAATGAGCTTTTTTATCCTTAAATGAGATTGGAGTCCCCTCAAACATACCCTTAATTATTATCCTGAAGATTTTATGTAATGTACAAAACATTGTCTGTTGAACCAGTGCAGTATTATGTCTTATTGTCTTAATTTAGGTATTGGAATATTGAGATCCTTGGTTGTTATTGCATCTTGATGTATTTTCATCTCAAATGCTATACATCCATCATCGACAGTTTATATTTATCCTGTTCTGTTCGTGGGGTTGTAGGCAAGGTCATTTCGACCCGATGACGAGTATGATGATGACTCAGATGATGGCTATAGCGATGATGAAGAGTTGCAGTCTCCAATAGATGATGTGGATCCTTTTATTTTCTTTGTTGATACAATGAAAGGTATGCTGACGACACCCTTCAAAGATATATCACTTGGTTGTTTTTATCTGAAATGCACCCGTCAAATATAAATTTGTCTGCAGCGACGCAAGCATCAGATCCAATGAGGTTCCAAAACCTGACTCAAACCCTTGAGTTGCAATATCAAGCTCTTGCCAGTGGTGTTGCCCAGCATGCTGAGCAGAGGAGAGCAGAAATTGAAAAGGAAAAACTAGAGAAGGCACAAGCTGCCACAGCTTCATAAGTCTCTGGATGTACATTCTTGGTCATGTTTTTCTCTCTTTTTTCTCAAAATGCTTAATGGAAGTACAGGAATGCCTCTATATTTGAGGTACTGGTCAAAAGAAGTCAAAAAAAAAAAAAAAAAACTGTCAGTTTTGATGTTCTCTCATAGCTCTGGGCACACAAGTTCCCTTTGAAATCAAAGAATGTTTGATTCAGGGAACGTTGGGGTCGGCTTTTTTTGGTGAGCGTGCCCATTTTTGCATGCCTATGTTGTCTTTTTCTTCTCACACCGGTCGGTCTTCCTTGTTCAGTCAGCAAGAGTGTGGTCCGTACAGATTCGGCCTGTCACATAGATGGGTAGTGTTGGGTGGCCAATGGATGTATTGGTAATTTTTGGTGAGATTTTATTTTTATCGCCATTGAAAGATCTGTCATTATATATATATATATATATATATTACAGTGGAGCATAGTCTTCAAGTATTGGCTAAGGGATTATGCAGAGCGTATGGATGGTGTCCTACGAAGGTTGTGAAACAGTTCTTTATTCTTTTATGATATATCAATTTTGTGGGATTATTTTATCTCGATGCATCGATATTTATTGTGATTGAGTTGTATATCATTATTATTATTTTTTAACTGAAACGTGGCATCATGTTTAGAATGTTTCCATTCAAGTATTTATCTGGTGCAAAATTAACGAGTCCAAACTAACTGTCAATTCGTAAATGCTGTTACAAGTTATGTGTCCAACCTGACTTGTTAATTAGACATTCTAATTTTAAAAAATAAGAGTAACTTTGCTTATCAAATCGGCATTCATTGATCAAAAGAAAATTTATTTGAATAAGAAATTAACAAATGCTCTCGCTAGCAGACTTGATGGACGGCACAAGAGGTAGATTCGCTTCCTTGGAGTAAGTGGAAGATTAAGTTCTAGTTTGGTTTTATGTCGTCAAAAGTTAATTTGTTAATAGTTAATTTGATAATAGGAAGTTTACTAAATTTTTAATTATTATAATAAAATTTGTATTTGCATGCATGCATGCGCATGTGTGTTAAAACACATGTTATTTAAGTCAATTTAGTATACTAAAAATTATTTAAATACATATAATCAAGGTTAAGAAGTATGTTAGATCTTGAAGTATTACATGAAAAATGTTTTAGATTTTGAATTTTTAAAATGTGCAAAATAAATTTTAAACTTTTAAATTCATAGCAAATTACTTCACATCATTAACTCACCATTAATGCCATTATTATTCACTTAGTAGGGCCTAGTCGAAATGCTAGTATGGCAGTCCCTTGTTAATGTGTCACTTGTTAACAAGCATTATAGACCTTGAACTATTGCATGAGTAGCAACCTAGACTTTGAATTTATGTATAGAACGCTATTATTATATAGAGCAAATTAAACTTAGCGTGGTCTACTGTGGTGAACACATTTTTGACCGTGGCGAACATCCCATAATTTTGTAAAATGACTTTTTTGTTCTCTTTTTTTTGCAATGTTTTTGCATTATTGGCAGTGGCGAACGATTCATAATTTGGTATTAAATAATGTTTATTTATTCAAAATAAGAGTTATAGAGTATATGGAAGCATAGAATACCAATCGTTCAGAAAACATTACAAAAAATGGGGGAAAAAGTCATTTCACAAATTATGGTTTGTTTACTATGGCTAATAATGCATTCATCAAGGCAAACCATACTGAGATTAATATGGTTCACATAATAGTCAGCATTCTACACATAAAAAATAGGGTACTTTGCTTTGAATTTTAAAGTTTAGGGTCTAAGATGCTACTTGTACAATAGTTTAGGGTCGGTGATGCTCATTAACAAATGAAACATCAGTAAGGGACTGTCATAATCATCATTTTGATTAGGTCCCACTAAGTGAACAGTAATGATGTTAATAGTGAGTTAACGATAGGGGGTAATTTGCTATGAATTTAGAAATTTAGGATTCATTTTGCATATTTTAGGAGTTTAGAGTTCAAAGCACTTTTTGCATAATATTCAGGGTCTAGAATGCTCATTAACCTTGTAATAAAAAGTTCTCTTCAATGTATTATTACTGAAACTAGATGTTGATTTTTATTTGTAATATTTGTTATACATATGTAATATATAGGAAATGATCAAAAAGCAAAAAATTTTAATATCATAAAATTTAATATATTAAATAGTAGAAATATAAGATACGAAATTTGATATATGACTAAAAAGTTATATAGATAATTCATTATATAAATAGTTTAATATATATTAATTGTTTAGTCTATAATACATAATTTGATCTTGGGCCAATGTTTAATTCATCCATCAAGGCCCAAAGATTTGCTTGTAGAGGCACATTGTTTCAATTGTGTCCATGGAGCTTCACATTTGGCTTTAGGGCTCAACACTTGATGAGCATTTAGATTGTAACATTCAGAATTTTTAAATATGGAATAAATTGCTAATTAAGGGATAATAATTTAATTATATTTTCGGGTTGTTAATTGACTTTTTAGGTCATATTTAGCTCTAAATTGATTTAGGATGAAAGCTAGATCAAGTTGGGTTGCATCAGGTAGAGCAAAAGTGAGTTTTTGCTCTCTACATCGTGAGCTGTAGCTTGTGTGCCATGAGTTGTGGCGCATGGCATAGCACAACACAAACAACATAAAATACAAAAATCATCAAAAAAGGTAGTTTTGGTGAGGGGAAGCCTAGAACTCGAAGGAGAAGGATTTGGGCACCGCTAGGGCTTCAATTTGGGTGGTTTTAGAAGCTAAATTGGATCCTTAAACTTTTAGGTAAGTTTATCACTTCTCTCCTCTACCTTTTCGTCTCATTTTCATTGGATTTGGAAGGTGAATATATTTGCTCTGAATGGATTAACCTGAGTCTATGTTTTAAAGACTTCAAGTAACTCTAAAGGTTTAAATTTCTTAACCTTAGATAAGTGATAATATGAACCTTAGGTATTGTTTGGAATGAATTGGATCAAGCCCTAGCTTAATTATAGGGTTTTGAAATATGACAAATTGAAATATCAAGTGTTATGTTTTAATAGAGTTAGAGGGAAGCTTTAGAGGATTGTGTGAACTATTTGTAACCTTGATTAGCATCTTTGTTGAGAATAGGAAGTGGGAGAATTGGGGTGATATTAATAGCTAATAGTGCTTGTGTTAATTAAAAATTAACAAATAGTACTTATTATTGTATATTGAGGTGTGGGGAAATTTGCTTTGACACAAGAGAAAATTTTGTACCATGAGTAACCCTTTTAGTAATAAAAGGATTGAGGTAACTAAATAATTTACATTATTTATTATCTTGTATAAGTTATTCATTAAGTTGTTTTTGTATGATTGGATATTTATACATATATAAAATTTGTAAAATTTAAGTATTTTAAAAAATATGTGGAGTATTGATTTGTGAAATGTCATGTTTTTGAAGCAAGTGGTAAGATCCATTATATTTGTTTAGAAAGTGGTTATGCATGGTCAAGTAGAGATATGCAGTGAAATGTGGCATGTTAGAGAGTGCGAGGTCACCCTAGTAGAGTTAGTGGAGATTAAGTCCATATGACACTGCTGGCACCTCAAGACGTCAGGTGCAGCTCATATTTCTCCTCACTGTTCGAAAAGGGTGCAGTGTTGAAAATTTACTCTCCTTAATACCTAGAAGGGTATAGAGTTGGAGACTATGCTCCTTAGCATCCATAGGATGTGGTGTGGGAGTAACAACACCTCAATTACTTATAATAGGGGGAACCTGTAGTTCAGAAGTGGCTTGGGATGCATTGGCTAAGAAGTCCTACCATGGATGGTGAGCTTGAGGACCATACACGTGGTTTGGTTTTGTGAAATAGCCTATAAATTTGGTTGGGAGTATTGGAGGATCAGATGATTAGCAATCATGCATTGTAATTGTGGCGATTTGTTTATGATATGTTTGTTATGCATATTTTAACGTTTGTTTATAACTTAACATATTAATTGGTAATGTAGATTATCTTAGTTACTGAGATTTTTATCTCACCTCGTGGTTATTATTTTATAGGTTCTACCATCGAGTTTGAGCAAGGGAAGGAATCAAGCAAGGATTAGATAATTAGCACCACTTGTACTGGTAATTTCCAATTTTATTTTAAGTTGTGTACGTAAACTTAAATGTATGATAATATGAGTTGCTAGTTAGAAATGCATGTCATTTTGATTCATTGCACTTATATTATACTATGCTATTCTGTATTTTAGCTTAAGGTTGTATATAATGTGAATATGTGGTAATTTTTGTGGTGAATGACTAAAATGCTAATACAAATGAAAAAAATGTTGTATACATGTGGTGATAACGAATATGTGGCAATAGAGGGCAAATGATATGTGATTGTGATTTTGTGACTTTGGTCATATTAGGTGAAACCGGCATTAAGTGGCTAAATTTTGTGTTTGGTATGTTATTGTGTGTTTAAATGCTTAATCAGATGTATATTGGTCCAATGGTCTTGATTTGAGCCTCAAAATGGGTTGATGATATAAGTTTTGAGTTTTGGATACTTGGATGCTTGAAAATCATTTTAAAATTTGACTTTTGCTTCCAAATGTCTAAAATTCTCATATGGTGTCGGATCGTAATAAAACTTATATCATTAGTTAGCTTATTGAATAACTTTGCGTGGGCACTTGAATCACTCCAATCAAATATCAGATGTAACAATTGGCCTTTTTATGCCATATGCCATGACGCATGGATCATGAGCCGCAGCTTATGTGCCAAAATGCACAAAAATGATATTTTTAGCTTTGTTTTTAAGTGTTTTGCTTTTCAAACTTTTTCATGCTTCACATATATTTAAAAATCATTAAGTTTGATCTTAAACTACTTATTTAAAAGGTTTTTATGGGATCCCAAATGAGTTTTGAATTAATTGTAAATGTATCATTGTTTTAACCCTTCTGTGTTTATAGTAAGCTTAAGAGTGACCTGTAGCTCCTAATTATCATTATGATGTAATAGAGTGGTAATTTTTAGTAATGTCAAGAAGAACATTACATAGACTATTAGATTAAAAATTTGGACAGTCTAGACTTTTAGATTTTATTTTTTATATTTATATTTTATTTTTATTATAGAAAAGCATAAAATTTTAATAAATCTATCTCACCATCAATATGGATTTAGTTTGAATGATATAATTTTATATTAATTTTTTTAATTTTTATAAATTGATTATCTAGGCATATCTTAAACAGTCTAGATTTAATAATAAACTTTTTCTAGAATTTTTATAAATTTTTATTTTAGTAAATATGATAATAAAAATAAAAATAAAGATAATTGTCAGATTGACACTTTAAAAAAATTAACAAAAAGTTGCAACTTAAAAATTTTATATCTAAATTGTCTAAAGTATATTTGGATGATAATTTTTAAAAATTATAAAATATTTAATAGTAAATTAGATCATTCATATTAAATTTTTATTATTTAGATTGATGATGAGGTAGATTTATTATTTTTATAATTTTTATTTTAATAAATATAAATAAATTATAAAAATAAAACTTGTAA